GCGGTTGAGGGGGGGGCGGTTGAGAAGATGGGAGTTGGGCAAAGATGATATTATTTATATCGCTCTTTTAGAGGATCCTCTTTTTAGTCACTCTGAGAAAACATATTATCACAACTGAAAGAGCTGCGGAGCTGGACTACAATAGAAAACTGCGTCTCCCCTCGACGCTTAACGGCAACAGAGGATGAACAAGTAAAAGTAAAAGTAAGTGATATGACGAAATGGTTCAGGTCCGGACATGTTCAACGGCTGTGAAAAGAGGTGCAGAAACGTTAATCTGTTCTTAAGCTTACCATCCAGGGCAAAAGGATTATGGATCAGAGTTCTACGCCATATTATGATTGGTGAAAAAGACTTTAAAAAAGTAACCCACCACCAAAAAAAAATCGTATTACTGTAAGTTACGTGACTATTAAAGGTCCAGAAAGCAGTTTATTTTTAGAGTTCTCAGAATTGAAAAGTGTCGTTTGGTTCCCGGGTCTTTAGCTGGAAACTATAATAATTTGGAGTTTACGTTATTAGTTAACTATTATCATTAAACTCTTCCGAACAAGAAAAGAACTCGCTTTTTTTTTTAGCATGCAAGATTGGCGCTCATGTGACCTTATGCAGTTGCGAAGGCCGTAAAACACTTACAAAAACAAACCAAGCATGCAAGAGCAAAGAGCCCCCCCCCCCAACCCCCCACCCATTATTACACCCCACAGTCCAGTCAAGTACAACTCTCACGACGCAGTATCTAAAGGCCTCGATAACAGCTAATGAACAAACTGCCAACTGACTAACCAAACAACCCACCAGTGGGTGGTTGGCGGGTGCTCTGCTGTGGTTTGCTTGTACTTTCCTATAAAAATATCTATCATCTTTATCTTCCCTCCTTCTTTTTTGTGTCTGTTACTCTCTTGTAACACCTCTAATCTTCGGCACTTACATGACCTTATTGTGTTGCAAGCGCCGTAAAACTCTTACTAAATAAAACAACAACCCACCAGGTCAGCAATGTAAGGAGCGCCGATAGAACCCACGCGTGACGTCATCGAGGAGATGCCCATGGCGGAGTTGCGCACAGTGGTCGGGAACATTTCCGCACTGAGCAAGAACAGGATGTTGAACGAGGTGGAGATACCCAGACGACCGGTCATTGACAGAACGATCATGATGACGTCTGCATCTGGAAGAACAGTCTTGTTTATTTATTTATTTATTTATTTATTCATGTATTCCTTCATTCATTCATTCATTCATTCTTTCATTTATTTATTTTATACAATTCTTTTTAT